TTGTATTTCCCTATGAAGTTTAGAAACAGCTCATCGATTTCTACAAAAATAAAAATCTGTTGAGATAGTGATTGTGATTGTACTGACTCTATAGCTAGGTTTGGGGAGAATTAACAATATTGAGTCCTCCAATTCATGAACATGGTATGTCTCTCCATTTATTAAATCTTCTTTAATTTTTCTCAGTAGTGTTTTGTAGTTTTTAACTCTATGACCTTAGCACATCTTTTGTCATTTTTATCGCTATGCGTTTAATATTTTTGATGCTGTCATAATATTATTTTTACATTTTTTAAATTTCTGAGTCTTCATTGATAGTATAGAAACACAATTGATCCTGGAATGTTGATCTTGTATCCTGCAACTTTGCTGTTACGGGTTGAATTGTGTACCCCCAAAGGGTATGTGTTGAAGTCCCAATTCCCAGGACCTCAGAATGTGACTGTAATTAGAGATAGGGCCTTTAAAATGGTAATTTAGTTAAAATTAAGTAGGCCCTGATCAAATATGACTGATGTCCTTTTAAGAGGAGGAGATTAGGACACAGACACAAATATAGAGAAGCTCATGTGAAGATGGGAGAAAATGGCCATCCACAAACCAAAGACAGAGGCCTGAGAAGAAACCAAACCTGTCAACACCTTGATCTCAGACTTCTTGCCTCCAGAACTGTGAGAAAATAAATTTCTGTTGTTCAAACCACTCAGTCGGTAGAATTTTGTTACAGCACTCCTAGCAAACTAATATGCTTAATAAACTCACTTGTTAGTTCTAGTAGCTTTTTTGTAGAGTCCATAGGATTTTCTACCATGACAATCATATCACCTATAAATACAGTTTTACTTCTTCTTTTCTAATCTGGATTCCTTTTTCTCATCTAATTGCTCTGATTAGAACTTCCCGTACAATACCGAATGGAAGTGGCAAGAGCAGATATCCTTACCTTGTTCCTGATCTTACTTAGATGGCCAGTGTTCAGTCTTACATCATTAAGTATGTCAGCTGAAGGTTTTTTCACAGGTGCCCTTTATCAAGTTGAGGAAGTTTCCTACTATTCTTAGTATTGTAACTATGATTTAAAAAATTCCATTTCAAAAGAGGGAAAATGAGAATCCTGAAAAGTTAGTTAAACTTTCTCTACAGTTATAGATAACTAGTAAAGAATAGGAAGAAATAGTGACGAGCATGGATTCTGGACCCAGACTTCACAGATTCAGATCCCAGCCTTGCCACTTACTGGCTGGAGCGAAATTACTCATGTTTCGTCCCTTAATTTCTCCATCTATAAAATGGGAATAATAATAGTATCCACCTCATAGGGTCATTATGAGGATTAAAATGTATAAACATTTATAATGTTCTTAGAACAGTGCCTGGCTAATAATACATGCTATGTAATTTTTTTATATGCATTTAAAATCATGGAAGGCAACTAGATTCTGCTCTATCTTTTCCTAACCCCTGCTGCTCTTGGTGGCATGGTTAGAATGTTAGGCTGGTAGAATTATCATCTAGCTCTACCTCCAATCCAATGCAGGAATCCCTTCTGCATGCTACACCCGGCTAGCTGCTGGCTGCCTTGTGAGCAAGGATTCTTCGGGTTAGCTGTACATTCAGCAGCCCTGAAATTTTCACTTCTGGGAAAGGCTGATGACATGTGGCTGTGAAGTGACAGTGAGATTTCCCAGGCCTGAGAAGCTAAGTTTCTGTGCTCACTCTATGCGTTTCTAGGTCCTCCAGTTGCTTCCACCATGACACCTGACATGGCTGGCATTTGCATCTCCTAGAATGGTCAGAAATAAACTCCACGGAGTGGATTTCCTGGGGACTAGTAGCTCCTCTTTTTTGACACTAGGGGCAAAGATAGGACTGGCTTTTCTGTCTTAACTGCCGAGATCCTGAGTCAACACTCTTTTTATCAAGCCCCACTGAGGGTAGGAGAGGAATTAGGCTCCATCCTTTCATGATTTTTTTTTTTAAATTTTTATTTTTTATTTTTTTTAGTTAGTTAGAAAGGACTCAAGAGTGTTTGATTCCCAGGAATTCTTAGCTAGAAGATCTCTCGATTTCAGATTATATATGAGTCTTTTCCTGGTGGAGCAGCAGGTTGCCTTACTAACTTTAAACAGTATTGTTACACAAACAAACAAGAGATGAAGATTTTGCTACAAGTAAATAGAAATTTCCTTCTAAATTTTAGCTTATGGAAATATCAGGACTGATTCAAGCTTTAGATTTTTAAATCTTCTGTGCTTGGCAGCTACGTTTTCCCTCTTTCCACTAAATGCTGTAGTTTAGGATTTAGAGAATTATGAAATGAAAAACACTCTTGCAGCACCAGAGTTTAAAGCGGGTAAGATCCTCAGGACTGTAGTATTGGCTGATGCACCTTCCCCCATTGTTGCTGATGTTTGGAAGGGGGAAAAGCTCTTGAAAATGATCCAGCTACAGGAGACTGAGCAAGGGGTTTTTGGCTTTCTTCATTCTAGGACTATCTTTTTTCTTAAAATCACTTAAGAATTAAGTGCAAAAACATGCCAATGTCACATCTGTGTGCATTTAGGAAGAGATAAATGTGCAACGTAAAGGCGTGTTTACACGACTAGCAATTGCACTGCAAAACCATCAGCAGCTCACAGCCCAGTCTTCCAAAATACTAGTGTAATGCATTTAAAGTCTGCAACTTTGCAAAGAGATGCCCACAAAAGCTCTTCTTTGAATTTGCATATTTGTGTACAAGAACACAAACCGTTTATACAGGATTTTTGCCCGTTTTAAATGCTAAAAAGGTCCTCGCGATTTGCTTTGCTTAAACTGCACACTCAAAACTTTATTAAAAACATTTTTCAAAAATAGTTTCGTAAAGCTAGACATCAGCAAGGCTCGATGAAGGGGTGGAAAATGAATCGTATATCTTTAACCCGCAGAAGTTAAAAGGTTTTTTTTTTTTTTTTTGGTTAGCTAACAATGGAAACTTTTTTTTTAAGTGTTTCCCTCCCTCGGTCTTGCCAAGCAATAGAAAAAAAAAAAAAAGAAGAAAAGAAAAACTTGTTCAAGAATTTGTCAGAATTCTATTGGCATTTCTTAGGTTTTTTTATTCGTTCAGTGATATCTTCATTA